TGATGTCATGAACTCGACTTATAAATACATGCATGTGGCGCCATAAGGAAGTTTCACATATCATCACTGGTGACCCAAAGGTACACCTGGTTACATCACTGGTGACCCAAAGGTACACCTGGTTACATCACTGGTGACCCTAAGGTACACCTTGTTAGCATGTTACATCGTTGGTGACCCTAAGGTACACCTGGTTACATCACTGGTGACCCTAAGGTACACCTTGTTACATCACTGGTGACCCTAAGGTACACCTTGTTAGCAAGTTACATCACTGGTATGCGGCCTCAGCGGCACACCTGGAATAAGATATGCATATGATGCATGTCATACATTCATTATTTCATGAACTCAACATTTAACTTATTACAGAATTTCATTTAGTACATCATGTCCTCATTTGTCATAGTCTCATAATCATAGTTTGTCTCAATAGTCCATTCTTAGGTCTCATGTCATTTGTCCATATTTCACATGGTCATGTCATCAATACTCCTCATAAGGTCCGCATAGGTATTCACAGAGATTCAGAGAGCATTCTTATTCATATTAAAACTCATGTATTATTAACATTAATTTCATATTCATTTATTACTTCAACAAAGAAAAAGGTAGAGTAAATAGAAAATCAGACAGAACAACGGCACTTTCAACAAAAACAAAGTAGAATAAATAGAAAATCGGACAGAACAACGGCACCTTCAACAAAAAGCAAAGTAGAGTAAATAGAAATTTAGACAGAACAACGGCACCTTCAACAAAAAGCAAAGTAGAGTAAATAGAAATTAAACAGAATAACGACAAAGGATTGGGGGCCAATCCGACAAACAACTATCCAACAATTATCCCCACACCCCTGAGCGAGGTTCTCACTCCCCCCCTTACCTGGATAAGCGGAGCTGGAACTTAGGCAGAGCCTCCTCCTCTGGATTCCCTCTTCCTTTCTCTCTCTCTTTCTTTCTCTCTCTTTCTCTCTCTCTCTCTTCTCTTTCTCTCTCTAAAATTTCACTTTCTTCCTCTGTATAAAAATTTTCACCCCCCCTGCCCCTATTTATAGGCCTCCTGGCGCAACCGGAACGGCCGTACTGATTTCGGAACGGCCCGTTCCGGATCCTTCAAACGTGGGCAAATTTCTCAACTGGAACGGCCCGTTCCAAAATCGGAACGGCCCGTTCTCAAAAAGCAGAACGGCCCGTTCTGAAACCAGAACGGCCCGTTCTCAAACCCAGCAGAACGGCCCGTTCTCCCTCCGGAACGGCCCGTTCTCCTTAATGGAACGGCCCGTTCTGGGCCCGTTCCCAACCTAAAATTTTAGCTTATTTTAAATGCTCAGACTGACCCGTTCCACTTTCGGAACAGCCCGTTCCGAGTTACTCAAATGCCCCTAATACCTTTATAAAATTACGAAAATGCCATCAATAATTACGAAAATGCCATTATTAATAAAAATATCCTTTTAAGGAAATTGGGGTGTTACACTTTCTCTTAACCTAACATCGAACCTCTCTTTTTCTCTCTCTCATAGCCTAGCACTGCTCTTCTCTTATATCTTCTGGATTTTTGGGCCTTCTTAAAATTACGAGATATTGTTCCTTTTCTTTCTCTCTCTCTTTCTCTCTTTCTCTCTCTCTCTTTCGCTCTCTCTTTTTACTTTTTCCTTCAATATTGCTAGGCTTCTATAAACTTGACTTTGAATGTGGGTTTGTACAAATTGGGTTTGAGATATATGTCTTGTAATGGTTTTGTGATTCCAAAGTAGCTTGCAACTCTAGTGGTGGGTAACATTGCTGATGATGGTTTGTGCTTTGCATCTCAATAGCTCAACGATGGAGTAAATGAAACATAGAGAAGCCTAGTTTTTTATTATAGATTAAGAAGTTAAACAAATGGAGTCTAATATTTACATGGAATAAAATTAAATTCGCCCATTTTGTTAATGTCAAAACCAAAATAACCCACCCAACCCAAGAGAGAAAAACATTGATTCATTCATTATAAAATAAATAACTTAAATATATTTTTAGTTATTCAAGTTTAAGGTAAATTTGTTTTTAATCCCACAAATTTTAAATTGATTGTTTTACTTCTTGTAATTTTAAATCAATTTTCTTTAGGGAACCTGTCAAATACTATCACACAAAATGTGCTTATTAGTATCTCTATTAGTGAAAACATAATATTAAGTTGATATTACATAATTATCTTAATTTGTCACTTGTAAATATGTTATTGGTGACATAAAAAATTAAAACAATTTTTTTTGAAAATTATAGGACTAGAAAAAATAATTTTAAAATTGAGGGACCAAGGATAAATTTACCATAAATTTAAGAAATTAAAAATATATTTAAGACTAAAATACATATATATGATGGACCAAAATATTTTTTTTCAAAGTGAGAGACATATTAAAGTCTCTCACCCTAGTCTCCATCAATAAATTTATAAATTTTAGATGTTTTATGATGATAACTTAAGTCAAACTTTAGGTACTTCGACATAATTTTTTTTAGTTAATCTTTAATTACAACATTATTAATCAAAAGTTCCTGTTAAATCAATTTGATTTCTTATTAATTATTATATGTATTATATTTTATAGATAATAATTAAAATATAGAGGATTTTCATACCTATATCAGTTATGTTTTTCTATTATGAGTTTTACTCATTTTTAAGATTTTATATATGACAATTCCAAAATTCTAATGTGACATTGGTGCCGGATAGCATTAAAGGGATACTTGATAGTCTATCACAATGAGTAAGGTCTTTAAGTCAAATCAAGTTGGATCGTGTGTGGGTACACCTAAATATGCAAGTTGTAATTTATAAGTCTTGTATTTTAAATTGTACAGTAAGTAATAATTAATTATATTTATCATAAGAAAATTTACATATAATAACATACATAAATTGTCATTAATTAAAAGATAAAAATTTGTAGATAAATATATATTTTATATTTACCCATTCACGAATTATTTTCTATTATATAAGGTGTATAATAAGGATTTTGTAAATTTTATCTATAATAAATAATTATAAGTACAAGTATTTGTATTTTTATCTATATTAAATATTTATAAATAAAAATAATTTTTGATTTTAATCACAATTATCATGTATGTAAAAATAAAACATGCATAGGTATAAATCACTTTCCTTATGCCAATTATTATTTAGTTTATTATAATATAATTAGTTATCTAATTTTATTTTGAATAATATTTTTTTGTGACATACTTTCAAAGAGATTTTTATATCTATAATTTTGAAATGAGTTTTTCTCATGTCTATTTTAAATTAGTGACAATTATTTAGAATAAAAGTGAGTAATATGTACAAATCAAGTATTATATATGGTTTAATGCAACGGAAGATGCCCGACAAAGATGACAAAGGGAACCAATCATTATAATTAAAGTTACCAATTAATATAAACACAACAATTATCATACAATTTTTTTTATAAATGTATTTTCTAAAATATTGATTGCATTAGTAATATATTAAAACATTTCTGTATAAAAAAAGAAAGTAACGTATTAAAACACTAATTAAAGTATATTCGTATAAGATAAACTAAACAATGCTTTTTTTTTTACTACAAAATAAAACATTGCTTTTTCACAAAAATAAGATTACAATGTTGATCATGAATTTCACATGCCAGAACTTGACGAAACCAAGATTTTCTAGGAAAAGGTCTAATTAATAATGTTGTAAAATTTTTGTAACTAGAATAAATTATGCTACTAATTTTTTAGGATAATAATTCTCAACAACTATGAAAAATAATTTTCTTTTAAATTGTTGAAAAGTATAAAAACAAGAATGTTGTTTCATGACAATAGTGATTTCCATGAAAATAAATTTTGGCATGCTTTTGATGTGTGCATCCCAATTACTTGTTTGTTTTCCAAACTTACATGCAACATATTTAAACACCTGAACTCAATAATATACGATAAACAATACTGTAAAAGAGAATATTTATTGGTGTAGTTTGAGAACTTAGGCAGCCAATGTAAAGGGATGCTATAAAGTCATTTGATTGTAAATGTAATTATTTAGTATTTAAAATGTAATATTAAATTATAAAGGAAAATATAAAAATAAATATATAATATTCAAATATTTTATTTTAAAATAAATAATACAATTATCATTTCAATAAGAAAGTAAAAAAGAGGAAAAAATTAAATATTTTCTAAAAGGAAGAAAAAATGTTATTATCTTCCCGATGAAGACTCTAAAAATAAAATATTTATAAAAAAAACCAAATATCATTGTATTCACAACTACATTTATTACAAATAAAATATATCTATTATTTTATTATGATAACTACTTTTGATTTTCATTTTTTATATGAATTATTTTCTTCTAATTTTTTAACTTCTTAAAAACTATTAAATATTCATACTTCCCCCTTAAATGTCTATTATTTGAGAATTGTATTATTAAAACCTCAATAGAAAAACTAGTGAGACAAAAACTAATGAAGGAAAAACAATACACTATTCTTAAGTATGTTATCATATAATACCTCATTAAAAATTGTAAAAAAATTCAATGAGACAACCATATTAAACGATGAAGAATATAAAATATATTTATACTGGTTGCTAAATTTTTTTACTAAACAGTGGCTTTATATATAAAAATATCTAATAGGATTCTCACATGATTGAACTAATTAAATATTTATATTGTCATTCTTTTGAAGATTAAATTAAATATTTATATTATCATTCTTTTTAAGATAATGAATGAAAAAAAAGTAAAATATATGTTATTATATATTTTTAATGTATTATTTTTTCAACTGAACAATATATACATGTAATTAATATTATCTCCTGTATGGTCATCAATGTCATTTTTCTTAAAAATAAACTACAAGTTTTGAGCACATATTGAATCACAAATCTTAACTAAAAGTAAACATTTTATAGAACAAGAAGGTTTTACTATTTATTTTGCAAGCTATGCCAAATGAGATTTGTATTCATAGACATTTTCAAAGAAATACATTAAAGATAATCATAACTGATTGAAATGGAAAAGACTCTTGAAACACTTAGAAGAATATAATTTTTTAAGGGAGGCATAGGTAAGATCAAAGGCTATTTTGGACACTTTAACATCTTTAATTGGGAGCATATATCTCCATGGATTAATGTTGCCTTTGAAAGGTGTTCATGTCGCTCTCTAGCCCTTGGACATGATGCATGAATCCTCGTTCTCCTTCATTTTCAATCATTGGTGTCACTTCTTGGATTTGGATCCTATTGATCTTCTTTTCTATTTCATTCAAGTTATGATCAATCAACCATGAGATATCATTCAAATCAATCAAGCTAGGATTGTCAAAAATCCCCCCAATAGTCAAGTATTGAAAAATAAGATGGGACATTTCTTTCTTCCTATTTTCACTTCTCAGTCTCTTCAACTGCTCTTGGGATTTGATGACTATTTGCTTCAACAAGCTCTCTTGGTTCAACATCTTTTTGTTTTGTTTTAGTTCAGACATTCTCCTGAACCTAGAAAGCACCATTTGGACTCCTGCGTCAGATGGCCAAACCTCTGGTTGAGGATCATTTGGATTGTAAATTATAGCACATGCTTCAATCCCACAAAGAGTGCTAATTTCATTCATTTTCTTGATCAAACCTAATAATAAAACATGAAGAAAATTTAGAGAAAGTGAGATCTGATGAGAGAAATTAAAATTTTATTAAATGGTAAATGTGCTACAAGGTTAATGACACAAAGTTTATGTACAAAATAATATATGAAAAGAAGAGAAAACAATTGCTAACCAATTTTTCTTTTCTTGAATGTTGTCTTCCTCTTGGAGTCATTGGTTATGTATGTAAGGTCTACTTTCTTTCTAGTCATGGTATTGATCAGAAAAGAGAGAACAAAGTAGTCAGAAAGAAATTCTGAAACCTATTTTGATGTGCTTTTCTCACCTTCATTGTTGTGTTATTTATATAAATAAATTTAAGATGCAACTATAGTGAATTTAGGGAAAGCTTGTGAGATTCATTATATTTTTCCAATTACCAACACTAAAAAAAAAGAATACCATATAGTGACACACATTCTATAATGATACAATATTTGTCATTAAAAATTATTTTTATTTATATTATAGATATAATATATGTTGATATATTGTTAAAAAGTATAGATATAGACTATAATGACATACAATACATGTTAAATCTCATTCAAAAACAATATTAAAATTATGACTAACTATATATTAAATAAATTTATACCTACATATTATGTTTCTATAATGATATTTTTTTATATGTCATTATATGTAACATTTCTTCTAGTGTAAATTGGGTTCATAAGCATTGTATTAACACAAAAATGAATCACTTTGATCGATCTAGTGATAAATAATTTGTATAGTATGCATAAAGTCTTAAATTTTAACTTTGTTGTTATTAATTATTGCACACTAAAAAAACACAAAAAAATCATAATTAAATCCATGTACAATGAATAATGAGAGATTTTGCAATATTAGTGGTCTAGTTGTTGCAAATTACAAAAAATTCATTATATTGTAAAATCTAGTGACCAAAGGTTATTAGTACAAGTGGATTAACATTTGTATTCATTAAAAAAAAAATCAGAGTTTGATCATAACTTAGTCATAGAGTTGCAACTAGATAAGATACCACTTTACTCATATAAGAGTTAACACAATGGAAAGGAGTTATATTTCTTTATTAAATAAAATGTAAAATTTAGTGACTATTTTTAAAATTTTGAAAAAAAAATGTTTATTTTCAATAAAAAAAATCACCTCAGAAAAAAGTTGATTTTATAATTTCAATCATATTTTAGATTCTATTTAGTTTCCAGTTATTTAAAAAGCTGACACAAATGCATGAACATATTTTTAAAATAATTATTTAAAAGTGATTTTTTTTTTGTATAAAAAATAGCTCTAACAAACATGCCCTACATGACCTACCATTTTCATGTTTATATTGAAGTAAATAAGAAGGAATTAAGTAGTTGGTGTGAACGTATTAAGAGAAGTGATCACATGCTTTATTTTTTGGATGAAATTCTTGATATTAAGAAATTATATTTAATATTGATTAATTAGAATAGACTTATTTAAAGAATATTAATATTTAATTTTTCATTAATTATTTAACTCAAATGTGAAGCTTTGTTATTAAGAAAAGTTGGTGAAATTGCGTGAAAATTGACTAGTGTATATATAAGAACAACTATAATATTACACGAATTACTGAGATCAAACTAATGATGAGAGAGTTAAAGTAATACGTATATGGTTTAAGTTTGAAATATATATATATATATATATATATATATATTATAAAGAGAGA